CATGGAGCCAACTGGGTGACTTTGGGCCAGTCACAGACTCTCAGCCCAACCTACCTCACAGGGTTGTTGTTGTGGGGATAAGATGGAGGAGGAGATGTAAGCTGCCTTGAGCCCTTTGTAGGAAAAAGGCAGGATATAAATCGAAAAATAATAAATAAATAAATTGAAGACCAAAACCAAGACCTCCTCAACTCGAGCGGTTGCCATCGGCTTCCGGGGCTTCGCTGGGCATGCCCCGCGCCCGCTCCTCATGGAGTCTCCACTGGGTGCTTCTGGCTGGGTGGTGTCCAGTCGCTTGCAATAAGAGCTCTCGTGCCTCATGCAGGCGTAATGTCATTATGGCCACACTCCTGGTCGAATATGTCTTTGAGTTTGCCGCTTTCTCCAAGTACTTCGATCACATTTCAGAGCCCCCTCAGAAACAGGCCCTCCTTCTGGCTGATCTGGGTGACAAGGCGAGTTATCCGAGGTCCTTCCCGAGAGGCACGGAGAGTGCAGGAAAGCCACGCAGGCACACACCTTCATCGAATCAAAGCGCTTATCGGATCTCCCCTAATCACATCTGCAGGATGATGGGGGACGGAATTGCCAGGCTTGGCTAATGTTAGGCTCGGGCTGGACTACTTTATCCAGCTAATGAGTGAGTCGCTACGTTGCTGCCCGTGGCCAAAGATGAAGGGGCCGCAGGCCGGAGTGCCTGGCATGGAACAGGAAGGGGCACCCCATGGAGGTGGCCTGGTGCTGCCCACAGAGGCTGAGTTCTCCCTGTGGAAGCCTCAGGGATGGGGGAGCAGGCGCAGAAGCCCCAGGCGAGCAGTTGAATGGGGCCATCTGAGCGCCAGTGGACTCGAGGCCGCACCTCTGGACCGCAGCCACCAGAGGAGAGCTGTACAGCTGTGATGGACAACAGCTCTGCAGGCACTCTGCTTGTCCACGGACAGTCCTCCTTTGTACTAAGGCTCCTTTTGAGCTCCTACTGTTACTCTTGTGAGCTGTTCGAGGTCCAGTTTGCCATTGGGAGGCCAGGATGCAAATTCTTTAAATCAAAATGGATCCCGCCTGTTCCAGCTGGAGCGTTTCCAACTGGAGCCTGACTTCAGGGCCGGCAGGCCTCCATGCAGCTTGACTCAGCCCCTGCGAATGGCCCACCATCGTCTACATCAGCCTTCACTGCCACCCCCACTGGCAGGGGGAAATGCATCTTTGCTCTGTTGTGCCTGCTTCTGCCATCCCCATTTCTTTGGGGTTTATTTGGGCAGGATGCTGCCTGGGATGGAGCAGAGTTTCAAAGCGCCTCGATTCGTGTTTGTGATATCGACAGATGACACTAACCTTCCAAGGCAAAGGAGGCAGCAAAGTCTGTCAAATGTGATCAAGTGGAAGTAAAATCAAGGCGCTTCCCTGGAGCCGTGGGAACTGATTGGGAGGCTCTCACCACTCCTGGATATTAATAGGAAGGACAGGCTGCAACAGCTACAACAGCCCAAAGGGGAAGAGTGTCTGTGCGTGTTCGCATGCATGGGAAGGAGAATGCAGAGGAGACGTTCAGCAAAGAAAAGAAGGCTTTTCCCTGTCTGCAGTCATTTTAAAACCTAGAAGTGAGCGACTGAATGGTGAAGGCAGGAAAACGAAAGGTTCTTGGCATTCCTGTGGATAAATCATGAAGCAGGGGCTCTCCGGCCGAGATGTGCACTTTTCTTGCAAGTAGAAGGGCACCGAGGAAGGATCATCCCAAAGCACTCCGTGGATGGCAGAACCAAACAGTGTAAATGCCTGGAGTTCTCCTGGTGAGAGGAACACGGTGGGAAAGGGGCGGAGGGCACTGAGCCGTGGTTCAGAGCAGAGAAGCCTCTGAGCCTCCAACCTGGTAAAATATTTAAGACGAGAGCATCAAGCGGCATGAAAGCGCTCCGTCCTCAGAGTAACCTGCCTTTATGGACGGCTCGAAGATTACCCTGGCTTGATTCCCGCTGAAAGGGCTGCTGTTGCGTTCCTCATCCTTGCCTTGAGGGATGCTTTGCCGGAAGCGAGTGACGGGCTTGTCGGATGGGGCGCACTTTCGCAGCCACCGAGCCATCCGCGCACACCGCAGCACCACTCCTGGGCCTCGCCTCTGCCGGGTGCGCCTGCGTCCTCCCTGCGAGCCAGAGACAGGAGTTGGGAGCAGCCCCAGGTGTCCCCCGAGCCCCTCCTGCCGCTGTCCAGGCATAAATCAGCCTCTTGCTTGCAATTCATGTAATATTCATAGTAGCCATAAAGATGCCTGCTCCAGAGGTGTCGTTAATAGGCTGCAGGAGCCCCCATCCCTATCAGGCGAGCTTTGCTTACTTGGAAGAGATGTCGGCCTTGGAGGGGCTCGCGCTAACAGCAGCAGCCGGTCCTGCAGGCCATGGGGTGCTGTGCTCCCTCCATTCGCAAGCAGCGCCTGCAGGCCTGACCGGTCCGCTGGCAGGTGGCTCGATGTGGCCGTGCAGAGGCCTGGCCAGGTTGGCCTGGGCAGCCTGCTTCCAGACTGCTCCTAGATCCCCTCCCGGGAAGGATGTGAATCCAAGAGCAGTGCGCATTTGTCCCCTCCCCTCGGGCCCCTAGGTGGTCACAAGGTGGAGACACCCAGCAGGAGTCGTCCTTGTTAGAAGGGCACCTCAGAAGCCTTCCATTTTTTTCAACGGGGTGCCAGAAAGGCATGTTGCTGGCCAGGCGCTGGGCTGTCCCCAGCACCTGCAGCCCCAGAGAGAATTTCAGAGGCCGCTGGCGGTTCCTGCACCAAGGGGCTGTGCGGTTCATCCCAGTTTTTTGTGGCTGCCCAGCCAGGCACTAAGCTGGCTCTGGAGGTCGTTTCTGTGGTGTGTCGGGCAGATCTGGACCTTTCCTTGCACCCCTCGTGGCCCCCCGGCCTCTTTTGCGGGAGGGCTGTTGACAGGGCCACTCTCCCCCATGGCGCCCTGCCTGGGCTGCTCCCTCTCGCCTCAGGGACCCTGCCGATATCCTGTGCGGAGCGGCTGTGGTCCCCCTCGGCTGCGCCCCATGGACGAGGACTAATGGACTCGGCGTGGAGGCAAGGGAAGCAATTATTAATGTCTTCCAATAGGGTGGGGGTGGGGATGCGTATTGATTGCCATGTCGAGAGCAGACGAACATCCCGGAGGGAGGGCGAGCTCTGTTTCCATTTCAGAGGCCCTCCCGCTGGTCTCCTTTCCATGCCTCCTGGGGGAGGCCTGCAGCACAGCGGCCATTGCCCCTGCTCTCCTTGCCACAGGCCACTGGCACTCTCTGCTCAGGAGCATGGGTACGGTGGCCGTGGGAGCCTGGCTGGGCCAAGGCCTGCCACCCCAGCCAAAGCGGGGGTGCAGTCAGTGCCCCTCAGTGTAGAGCCCATCCTAAAGGGCCCCCCCGGCCGGCAGCTCCGAAGAACCGGCAACGGCGAGGTGGCCCTGGCTTTCCGGCTTCCGCAGCCACCCCATTCCCGGCTTGAGCTTGTGTTCAGCCAGATGGAAAGCCCGGGGGAGCTCACTGCGGGCTCCGTCCCATGTGACCGTTGGGCTGGACCCGACGAAGGGATTCTGTGTTCGTCGAAAGTGGGCACGGCCGTTTAGCCACTGGGCACGCATGGGCACGCTCAGGTTGCCCCCCTGCCGGAGTGCTCACAGGGCTGCGGTGTGGGAGGCGACCACTCAAGGGTCAAGGAAGGGAGCAGGATGGGGGGCAGTGAGTCCGCTCCCCCCGCCTGGGTCTTGCCATGAGGCCCTGGGGAGGGCAGGAGCGATTCCAGACGGATGGCCCATGGCACTGCCCGGCAGCACAGCGCAGCTCCTCTGTCTCTCCCTAATCGGCTTTTTGCGATGAAAGGCAGGGGTGGGCGGGGGAGTCCTGGACGGTTTACAAGCTGAAGAGGCTGCGGCTGCCCCGACTTCACCAAAGTGCTTTTGCAACACCTTTCAGCCAGCGAGGGGACGGTGCACCCTTGCTTTGCTTTGCTTCCCCGTCTCCATTATCTGCTTGGAATATATCTTGGGAAGGAAGATGGGAAAGGCTAAGCTGGTGCTCCTGCTTTCAGCCTGCAGCAATCCAGGCTTCACCCGAAGCGCTTTCAGCCAAACTGGGCTGGGCGTGGAGCGGGCGGCAGAGCCGCAAGTGCCTGGCCTCAGAAATTCCAACTACTTCGGAACCCTAACTTTTTGGTGCACATAAAGGGCTAGAGGCAGACTAGGAATGGGCCGGTAGGGCTGCCCCTGAGCTGTGGCCAGAGTACAGGCCAGCTGACCCACGGAGAGGCGCTCCCGGTTCTGATGGACTGATTGAGTTGTTTATCCTGCCCCATGACGACAACCCCAGGAAGAGCCTCCGCGGGGACCAAACTCCTTCCCCTCTGCACAGCCCGCTCGCCACGTGGAGGCCGGCAAATGCACCCAGATGTGGCGCCCCCTCCTCTGCTCTCTGAAAGGCGGCCTGCTCTCCCTCTGACCTTCCTCTGCTCCACTCTTTACAGGAAGATTAAACTGTCCTTTTGAAACGAAGGGTGAGGAAGATCCAGGACACCCTCCTGGTTACAAAGGGAAAGGGAAAGCTCGTCGCTGGATCCCGAGCCCATGAGGTCTTCCCGGTGGGGCATGGCTGATCAGGCAGCACTCCGTCCCCGCTTGGGAATGATGCACGGCCAGCCGTTGTGCTGAGACGGGCCCAGCGGCCGCCCGCTTTTGACGGCCTCCCTGCCCTCGCCCGCCCGCCCTGTACCCCCTTGCAACGTGCTGGTCTCCAGGGCTGCCCAGGAAGATGCGGTCGCACAGTGGCCGGGGAAGAGGCCGGCAGCGGAGTCTGTGGCTGCTTCCCTGCCTGGCAAGCGCGCGTGAGCGGCACTTGGCCTCCTTGTGGTTCACGGCACCTCTGGCAGGGCTAGGCTGGCAGCTGGCGGCCACGAAGAAGGCAATCCGTTTAAAAATAAGAACAGCAGACACCTCTGTCGAGGGGAACTTGAGTGGATCAGACAGATTTTATTTCCACATTCAGCAGGGTCTCTTTTCACCATTTGCTTCCAGTTCTGACAGACAGCCTTTGGGCGGGGAGAGCTCTCCCGGCGAGCGTCAGGCCAGAGAGACAGTCCTTGTGTGGCTCACAGCGGGTTTCTCCAGCCTGCGATGAATTTGCAGAAATCAGGGATGCTGGAGGTCCCCCTGTTCCTGCTCCCGACACTCGTGATGTGCGCTCAGTAAATGCTTAGAAATACAGAGTGAGAGATACATATGAGCCCCTCATCCAACTTTTGGCTTTGGCAGGATTTCTGGAGCAAGCGAGGGACCGTCTGCATTCACCCCCCCCCCCCATCCAGAGCTGAATGGTGAGGGCAAGCCAGACTGTGGCCAGGGTGGACGGTCCTGCGTTCCATGCCGGCCGAGATGTCCCCGTGCGTGGCTCCGGCCCCGTTCGGCAGTCTCAAGGCCACATCTGCTGCCCAGTCTGCGCAACCTCACCCACCCTGCCCTCTTCCCAGAGAGCGGGGGCCTCCACCATGAGCCCCTTCTTGTGAAGCACGGTGGTCCCTTGGGGTTTTGTGCTTCTTGCGGCTTTAGCCTGCGCTGGAACAATCGCTAGGTAAGTTAGAATCGGTATCCAGAGAGTGACCACGGTGCCCTGCAACAGCGGGAGGTTGGACCCGAGGGACGTCATGGCCCCTTCCAACTCTCCCGTTCGAGGATCCCATGACCAGCAAGTAGAGCTGTGAGTCCACTCGCGTGGCACCTCAGGCTCGCTGGCTCATCCCGTTCCCCACAAGCCACACCTCTCCTCTGGGGCATTTGCTGGATGCCCCTCCTCACTGTCAGAACCTACCTTCGGCTGGAAACAGATCTCATTCGTGAAGCCTTCCCGATCCCGGAGGCTCACCTCAGTGCCCTCCCACCACCCTGGCAGAAGCTACCTATTGCAATAAATAATACACATCTAAAGCTTAGAGCAGTAAGTTAAAGTTTCCCAGCAGCGACCCTATTTGCCTCCCCCACCGGCAAAACTGCATTGCCTCCTATTGCCACATCTTTCCAAGAGTCCTCTCCACCGCAAAGATGGTGAAAAGGAAGGACGCCACCCTCCGCACGTCCCTTCCGTTACCAGTATCCACCCTTCTCTCCCCTAGGCCAAAAGACAAAGGGGGGCAGCCGTCCGGAGGTCAATTCTTGCTAGAGTCTTTGTTCTCCTCGGACAAACAGATCTTTTTTTAAATGCTTGATGGAGAATCTCATCCTCCTGTCCTCTCCTTCCCCAGGTCACAGATAAAAATGAAGAGGAAATTATGCCTGGTTTTGCCAGCGACATTGTCAGGGTGGGATATCTGCCGTCCCAGAGTGGAGCAGTTGGCTGGAGGTTGGAGGCGGATCCTGGCTGGGTGGAGAGGCCGGCCCAAGTCGCCTCCTCCTTCCTGGGTCTTAGCTGAGGAGAGCCAGGTAGACAGGAGGGGCCTTGACCAGGGTCTGCAGCCGGCTGTGGATCTCCTTCATGTCCTGCCGCTGCTGAGGCTCCCTCTGCCAGCAGCTCTGCATGATGTCATAGACCTCCGAGGGGCAGGTCCGGGGCCTCTCCAGCTCACGGCCCTGGGTGATGCATTCGATCGCCTGCAGGGAGGGGCGGGAGGAGCGGGAGAGCTCACGTTTAGCTTAGCCACCCACGGCGTCTGCAGAATATGGAAGCGTGGCTGGCAGGGGGCATGGTCACTCAGGAAACCACATTTTGATTTGGCCCGAGAAGGAAATCCAGCCTGGTGTAGCAAGAACATAGGCTGGGAACGGTCTGTTTCTCTTGCGATCAGGGTTTTGAAAAGGAGAGCCTCAGTCTGCACATGGAGACCATGTGTGGGCACATCAAGGGCTCCCTGCCCCGGGCCCAGCCAGCAGGGCACGCTCTCTGACCCCAGACCTGGCCTCGCCACGCTGCCCGTTACCTCCGTGTTGGAGAGCTGGTACCACGGCTGCTTTCCGTAGGTGAAGATCTCCCAGAGGACCACCCCGAAACTCCAGATGTCGCTCTCTGTGGTAAACTTCCGATACAGGATGCTCTCTGGCGGCATCCACCGGATGGGCAACATGGTCCGGCCCCCAACCTGCACGAGAGGGGAAGCGGGAGGACGAGGAGGCAAATGGGAGACGAGACGTCAGCCGCAAAACGCAGGGAACGCCGCTCTGCCGACACTCAGAGCAGGACCAGAGCAGCCCCGGGAGGGTGCGGTGTGCGGGCAGCACCGGTCACCGCCCCTCGCCCAAGGCCCTGCTGCGGAACGGAGAAAAGGTGCCAAGAGCCTTCGGGATGGAGCAGTTTTGCCTCGAGAAGACCGAGAGCCGGTGCCGTGCGGGGATGGGGGTGCTGGGCCGGGGGCCAGAAACACAGCCGTGAGTCTCACCAAGGGCCTTGGGGCCAGCCCCTTGCGCTCAGCGCAACCCGCCTCGGGGCTGGTGCTGTGCGGATGGAGCGGGGCTGCGTGAGCTGCCTTGGGATCCACGGAAGAGGAGAGAAGAGGAAGAGGCCTCTAAGCAGAGCAGCAGCGGCTTGCAGACTGAAGGGGACTGGGGCTGGGCCGGGCATGTGTGGAAATGCCACCTACTTCCGCAGCTCAGCCAGTCCTGGCTTCGGCGGAGTTACTGCAAGTCCACTTAAGGCAAGACGGGAAGCGCTCCGTTTGGAGAGCCGGGCGGACGGCTGCTTGTTGAGAGTCAGGCGCTTGGCAGTCTCCTCCTCATCAGACCTTCCCTACCAGCTGCCTCCTTGTTGCTCCCTCCCCAGGTTTTAATTAACCATTTAATAGAAGTTCCATCCTCCTTCCCTGCCAACGCCCCCCCCCCCCCCGGTCTTTCCACTGACTAAGTGCTTATAGGTTTTTCCACCATGGGCTCCATTAAAGATGATCGGGAGCCCTGGGTGGAGGCTAAAAGGGAAAAAGAGAGGCAGGAGGGATGGCTTTGAGCCCCGCAGTTGTCAGGACGATGGATTCCTTCAGAGTGCGTGAAGGAGCGATGGGAAGAGTGGCTGGAGGCATCTGGGAGCCTCCCAGGCTGGCTCTCACTGGTGAGCAGACTGCCCCCACCAGCCGGAATGGCCATTTGGGCTCCTCCGTGGTGGCCGGCAGGCACCCGAAGCTGGCCCAACCCCCCCGCTGTGTGCCAGCGTGGGCCACACTCGATTCGGAAGAGACTGCACCGGGGACCGGGCTCGGCCGAGGGCAGATGAGCCCCCTCCCCGTGCTGGTGCCTTGTGCTGCAAGGCAGTGGGGAGGAGGGCGGCGCCCAGGACGGCGTGGGAGCGTGAAGGCGGAGGAGGCGCAGCCTGGCACTGGGGTGGAGGCGGGGGCCGCTGCAGCTCAGGAGACAGGCAGGCGGCCAGGGCCCCGGAGCTGCGGTCACACGCCCAGCTCTGCTTACCCGATAGTAGTCCGTGCTGTAGATGTCCCGGGACATGCCAAAGTCTCCAATCTTCACCACCAGGTTGTGTCCCACCAGGCAGTTCCGGGTCGCCAGGTCCCGGTGGACGAAGTGCAGAGACGCCAAGTAGACCATGCCGGAGGCAATCTGCGTGGCCACATGGAGCATCTGGCTGAGGGTCAACTGGCCGAAGGACTGGCCGTTCCCGTTATCCAGGATCTTCGCATCCGGTCCGTGGGACCTGCAGGGAAGAGACGGCGCTTCCACTGCTTTCAGGCCCCTCAGAGGTGAGCCTGCTGTTTTCAGCATCCCGCCAGATCCTCTCCCTGTTCGGAGCTGGGGCTGTGCAGCCCCGTTGCTCTCCGATCGCTCTGTCCCGCAGGGGGAGCGTGGCGTCCCTTCCGCCTTTCTCAGGTGTCTGTTGTGCTTCTACAGCGCTCATGTGGCCCCACGTCTGGAGGCGCTCAAGGCCCCGGGGCCAAGAGACTGAGGGATGCGAGGGCCTTCCTCAGAAGCGCTCTTCCCGGCAGTGTGGTAATTGCGCCTCGTCTGGCTCCCAAGATACACATATAGGCATGAGCAGGCGAGCGTCCCTGGACATCGCCCGCGGCGCGCCAGAGTGCAGCCGAGTGACAAGGGCTTTTTCTGAGGGCGTGTGGGACCGGCGGATGCCTGTGCCTGGCTGCGTCCTGGAGCCTCTCCCAAGACTCGGGCTGTGAGCGAGCGAGCGAGCGAGCGAGCATGTGAGAATGGCTGTCACGCCCTGCCCAACCCAGGTGTGACCAGCAGTGGGCAGGCAGGGAGGAGTCAGGCCTTCCTCCCCTGTCCTCTTGAACCCAGGAAGAGCCCCGCCAGGCAGATCAGACTGGGGGAGGCCCATCTTGCCCGGCGCTTGGCTTCTGCCGAAGAGCCCCATGGCCCCACGGAAGTCACTAGCAGCCGTGCCCTCCCTGCCCTCTTCCTCATCCGTGGCACGTGCCACTGCCTGGTCCCCGCGGGGGGCGAGTCCTGCAGGGGACAGTGCCACCCCCCACTGGCGTGGCCTCGCCCTGCCTTGCTTGACACAAAGTGCAGCTGACGGGGCGGAGGAGGTGGCCAGGTGAGGAGCCCGGGGCGCCGTGAAGCAGCGCCATTAATGCCAGCTCTCATCACCGTAATCATCAGAGCTGAGCATCTCCCGGCTCGTCCCAGGGATGCTAAGCAGGCCGGTTGGCAGCTCCTGTCTATTGGCAATACCTGGGGGGGCAATCGAAAGAGACTCTGCTTATTCCAGTTGATGGCCCATCTCCCTCAATTTGAGCCTCTCAGACAGCTAATCTAATCAATATTGCAAGGGAAGATTGCATTAGCAGGGGGAGGGCTGGCTCAGCGGCTGCAGTAATGGAGTGGGGGGGAAGGAGGCACGGGGCGGCCAGCAGAGGATCAAACGGGGACCGGTCTGTCCCGCAGCAGCCACAGCAGCAGCAGGGAGACGGCGTGGGCCGCCCGCACCCCGACCCTCGCCATGCCGCGGGCAGGGGTTCCCCGGCCTTCGCGGCCTCCCCCACACCCTACACTCCCCACACAGCCAGGCCCAGGCAGCTGTTCACACACACAAACTCGTCTTCCTCTGGGGCACTGCGGATCGGTTTGCGCCTCCGGCCCAGTGATACCGGAGCGCGTGAGCACGCTGTGGGTGCGAGCCAGGCTTGTCCCCAGGCACCTGCCCTGCCCGCCCGCCACGTGGTCGGCCACCCACCGGAGGAAGCGGTTGAGGTCCCCGTGCTTCATGTACTCGAAGAGCATGATCAGCGGCTCGCCGTCGGCGCAGACGCCGTAGAAGCGGACGATGTGCTCGTGCTGCAGCACCGTCAGCAGCTCCGCCTCGCGCTGGAAGTCCAGCCGGGCCGTCTCGGTGACTTCCTTCAGGGTCTGCAGAGGCGGGTCGTGGCGGGGCAGTCAGAGCAGTGGCCATCCAGGAGAACCGGACCGTCCTGGAGCCCCTGGCGTCTGGAGGGACAGCTCCGTCCGCACTTGGGGGGCGGGGGCGGGCGAAGGGAAGGGGCACACGCCCCTGGGGCTGCACTTACCTTGACTGCCACGAGCATCTTCTCCTGCGTGGGGCTGAGGCTGTAGCATTCGGCCAGGAAGACTTTGCCGAAGGCGCCCTCCCCGAGCTCCCACTTGAGGACGATGTCCCTGCGCTTGATGTGGCGGACGCCTGCAGGGGGGGAAAGGCTCCCAGGCTGCTCCCAGGGCCCGGCAAGGCGAGGAGGCCGCCCAGACCCAGAGGCCCCGGCGCAGCAGGCCGTGGAGGGAGGTGGGGGGATGGGGCAGGAGGAGCCAGGCTGCAGTCCGGGACCTCGCTGCGGGGGGTGCTCCGCTTGCCTCCGTGTGGCCAGGCCTGCTCACCAGAGTCCCCTGGGCGCCCCACCTGTGCAGGGTCTGCAGGGCAACATCTGTGCTGCCAGCGATGCTCCGAGGGCCCCTGCCTCAGCGCCAGGCCGGCACCACAGCCGGAGCATTGCTGTGCTTCCCCAACTTTTGAATCCCCTCCCCTTTGCTTTCCCGCGGCTTGGCTCCTGTTTTCCCTTCTCCCAGACGCTGCGATTCTTATCTATTCTTTCTGTGCTTTTGTTTTAGGTGAGCTGCTGTAATTTTAATTGTGCCTGAGCGTGGGGCAGGGCCCACATGTAAACGGGGATAAAGTCCTGCTCCTGAGGAGATCTCAGGGCTTCCCAGCAAGGACAAGGGAGGCCGTGGCCCGCTCAGAAGCACCACGGCTTTCGTGGGCAAGCGTCCAAGCCAGCCTCCGAAGAACCCGGCAATGCGCCCGGCAGCGCTGCAGCCTTCTCTGGCATCGCCTCCTCCAGCACCTGCTCTGTGCTGGCTCTGCCCAGCAGTGGGGCTGCCCCGCAGCCCCCTGTCCCGTCCGCCACTGCACGGCCAGGGTGGCCTTTGCCACCTGCTTATCGACTGATTAGACTTATAGCCTGCTTTTTTCGTAGAACACACCCAAGGCATCCTACACCCTCCTCCTCCTCCTGCTCGCGACTTCTCCCACAACAGCCCTGGGAGGGAGGCTGGGCTGCGAGGCTGTGGCCGGCCCAGAGCCCCCAGCGGGCCCCTGGCTGGGCAGCGAGCAGCGCCCGGACTGGGGTGCTCCGGTGCTGCGCCTCCCTACCCGGTGTGTCGGCTGTCTGTCCTCTTCCTGCCTCTGCTGCATGCAGCCCTCCGCGCCCGCCTGGCCCGCTGCGCTCTGAGCACGGCTTCCAGGGCCCCGGAGCCAGCCAGACTCACATGTGTTGCAGAAGTACTGCGGATTCTCGACGAAGCTGGTCTTCAGGGCCTCCAGCTTGCTTTCCGCGGAGGAAAGGGGGCTGCCGCCCACGTTCATGAGCTGCAGGGACACGGCCAGGTCCTCCTCCTGCGCCAGCACGGCAGACCCTGTGGCGCGGGGCAGAGGTGCCGCGGGTGGGCCTCCGAGGAAGGGGCCCGTCCGGCACTGCGATGGGGCCTGAGATCTCCCATCCGGACACCCCGGTGCACGTGGGGCTCCCACCCGGAGCTGCCCGCTCGAGGACAGCGGCCCAGACGGCCATGAAGCGCCCTCGCTTGGGGGGCCGCTCTTCTCGCGCCGGGTGGGTCATGGGCACCCGGGAGAGGAGGGCCGCCGACGCCCCTCTGTGGGGCAGGGCCGGCTCGCACAGGTGCCGCTGTGTGTGGTTCACGGGAAGCCTCCCCCCC